TTGTATATATTGGTACCGCTTTGCAGCGGTATAGACGTATGAAATCACACTAGCCGCTGAGTAATTGAATTATAATATTTATTTTATTACATAATTCGTCACGATATTAATTTTTTTTATCTTTTTTGTTCACATTCACATTCTTTTTATATATTTCTAAATAAATAAGTCTCCAACAAAATGTAATACAATAATTAATATATAACTTGCTTGACAGCAGATTTCGATAGGGACAACTAATGACATTTGTGATTTGACATCTCGGCCACGGTTTGGCCTGTCTGGAGGTAGCGCCATCTGTTGAAAATTGTTTTTAGCTGAATAACAATATGCTATCAAGTGAACACGGTATTTTTTAAGATGAATCCTAATAATAATAAATTCCCATGATGAATAAGTACGTTCAAGTTGACCGAGTCAAAAGACTTGGCAATGTTGAAAGATGTGGTGTCAGACTGATGTCCCTTTTCCATTTTGATAATCGCTCTCAAGGTAAATTCCGTTAAATTTGTTATCGTTGATCTATGTTTAATAAATCCATGCTGACTTTCGTGGACGATGTTCATAAAATAACACAATTCATAGATAATTTTGAACGTTGTTTCTATCGCCGTTTTTGTAAACTGGCCTGACAAATGACGTCTTCTATACTGGCAGTCTCTAGTGATTCCTTTAACAATGTTTAGTATGGCCCCTGCAATGAAATCAAGCAATGCTTGATAAATTTTTTTGGCATTTCATCTGGCCCACAAGAGATGTCAGCACAAATATCTTGTATATTCTCGATTTCAGTGTTGTCATATCGTAGATCATCTTTTTGTTTTTCTTTATATTATTTTGCCCTGACCGTTTTCTCTATTCCTTCTTCTTTTGTTTTTCGTTTTCTTCTATTTTTTAATTTCACATTTACAACATCGTCTTTAAAATCTTCCAATATTGTTGAATTTATGGTTACTATTTTGTTTACTACGTTTGTTTCCTTATCAAAAGTGACCTTTGAATAAGGTTTGAATCGTTTCAATAACCTTATCATCAACATTTTCCACCACCTTTACAATTTCATTTTTGTTGTATAATTGCTCTTCTTTCGCATCAACAAACTGCCCATCTTCTCTTTTTTCTTGAAATTTATGCACACAACTTAAACAAATTACTGGAAACTGTGTTTTTCCATTGAAAATGGCAATAAATTCTTCTTCTTCGTAAATTATTTATATAATATATACTTATTTTTTTTTAATAAAGCAACTTTGGCAAAAGAACGCTATCGGTACAGATAATTATTATTAAAATAATGTAAAATTTCTGTGTATGTTTATTTCATTCTTTCTTCAGAAATCAACGAGTACGCCATACAAATAGGAATAAACCCAAAATCAGAACCACATCTCTTATATATTGCCCGAGAAGGTTTAATATCCCGAGTTCCAGCTGAGTGGCAAATTTGGTAATAAAATAGTGTTTTTCCGAACGTTTGTTCCTGCATAGAAATTTAAAATTCGTAAAAATTTAACGAAATATTTTCAAAAAATAAGTCTTACAGGAATAAGACGAACTTTTCCGCACGGTGTTTTATTAAGCCAGTTCAAAAAATATTTGTTTGATTTTTCAAGCTTTTTAAACGGAATCATACGGTTCGAGGCCAAAAAATATGTTCTGAATTGAATTTGAAAGTATTCAATTTTCTAACAAAATTACTTTTGAAACACTTTTAAGAAAAATTTTGGATTTTTGTAAGGAAACCATACCATGATGTAATGATGTGAAAATTTGCATAGATAAAAAATCTTTTACAAAACAATAACATTCTGAAAGTTTGAAGAAGTTTAAATCAAAAATAATTTTAGCGTTTTGTTCGTTCGTTTGTAGAAATTAAAATGTTCTTTCGTTATTCGGATGGTTTATACGAACAACGAATACGTTATTAAAAGCACGTATATACGTATAAAGTAGGGTGTAGCAGAAATATGAAAAAATTGAAAAACAAATACGGCGAGGGAAATAACCTTGGCTATGGGATCCCCTGATCACGAATCAGGCGTTTTTTTTCGAAAAAAATATAAACTGAGATGTCAACGGCGAAGTATCAAAAATGGGAAAAATTTGGATTTTTTTGAACTTTTTTGTAAGGCATAAAGATACACTATACTTTCAGTATTGCTTATATTTATGCTTAAATCATAAATAAATAACACATTCTAGTAGAAAAATTCATTCAAATTCAAAAATGGATACCGTCACCATGGAACAACATTTCTTTGAACATTTTCAAAAATCGTGATTTTCAAAACTATTCACTTCTGAACACAAATTTATGAATATTAAGGGTTCCCTGATCCGGAATGATCAATAATTATCTGAAATTAATGTATGCAAAGTGTCCCATGTCATAAATTCATGTTTGGTACCAAGGAGACATTAAAGTAAAAATACAGAAAAGGGACAAAAATTATAAATTTTCCACCCATACAAAATGTTCGATATTTGTCTCAAAAACGAAATCTTTGTATTGGAGGTACCCTTAATTTTGGTTTAAATTTCTCCAAACCTTCACACTGTTAATTTTTGGTGAAAAAAAAACCTATGCAAAGTTTCAGCTCATTACGAATCATGGCTTCCAAACAAAAATCCAAATTTTTGTGACTTTCGTGTGAAAAGTGTGTCGAAAATTATTATTTGTATAGCAAAACTAATGTCAGATTCGGTTTTCTCGTGCCAAAAAAAACCCAATACATTTTTTTTTAGTATTTAATTACACATGAAGTATGTCTTTTTGACGAAAATTGTACTCTTTCTCATAAGCATCACTTCAGGCATGAAACCTTAGTCCATCAACCAAAATCGCTCAAAATTCAATGCTCGGAACCCTCAATCATCCCATTTTAAATAACTTTTCTAGGGGAAGAGTTATCGTGTTAATAGATTTTGCGTACGGACAACGTACAACGTAACACGTAGAAGCGTCCCACAACAAACATTCTCAAAATGATTCGGGTTCTCTGGCCTCGAAAACGTCCAGAAAACATGTTTTTGAGGTGTCGTAAATTTTGACCCATTGCAATACTTACCCCTTACACACTAGGCTTGTGCGGAAAAGTAATATATGTGGTTCCCACAATTTCAATATTGCGGAATTGCACAAAAAAGGTTCTAAAGTGAACAAATTCCGACAAGCCTCCAATATGGACTCCAAAAATAAGTCAAATTTGTCTCCTATTTTGGGTTAAGTGATTGGGATAGCTATATGAAAAATCTACAAAAAATACTATTCATTTGGCAACATACAAAGCATTCATCAAAAATGACTGAAAATTTTGTTTTTCAGTTACAATGACGAATTTGATGGCTACTATTATTTTAATACAAAAACAAAAGTAAGACAATGGCAACATCCTTTAGATGCTGAATATAAAAAAAAAGTTGAAAAGGCTCGGAAATCCGTTGCAACTGGGGTCAACGACTTATCTGACGTAATACAATTAATAACAGTTCATTTGTTTTAAACATATTATATGTACTTTAAGACAAAATATGTTTCATTCATCTTTTTTTTGCATTTAGGACGTATCGCAAATTGATTCAGGAATTAGAGATGATTCAGACCTACTAACAGACATTTCACCAGTTTCTACTAGTACTGGTGCAATACGAAAAGACATGTCTCTCCAAAATACCGGACGATTTTTAGTGCCATTAGAAAAGCGAATAACATCTAATAGTGGTCCGTAATGTTCCATTACTTTTTCATTTTATTCCACTACACTGGATTAATTTTCATTTCTAATTTTTTTCTTTTCTGATCCACCAGGACTGTTACCATTGGCTCCAATTGAGAGCGCACGAAATAAAAGATTCGAAATCACTAATTTTCTAACAAACAATTCACTACCCTCATCTCAAATTGGATTGTCCATGAACCGACTTGAACCATTGGCAAAGAATCTAGAAAATGCATCATCGACAGCCACATTCAGAGGTGGATTTACATTATCCGGGAAGGGTTCTATGTTTTTAAAATCCAACACTAAAAAAAACGAAACACCCGAAAATGCTAACTGCAGTGTAGATTTGAAAAATTCACATTATTCAAATACCGATGGAAAAAATGTGAAATCAATACTTCGAGATTCAAGTTTGACGGATGTTCGAAGCAGAGCAGAGAGCAAACTGTTAGATGCAGAAGAAGATAGAAAAAGTGTATGTATTATATTACTTTACCATTACTGAAGAATTCACAGCATGGCATTGACAGACGACGCTGAAAACAGCGCTTTATAACGGTTTCCTGCTGGAAATCCACTGCCGCTGGCACAAATTGGTTTGAAGTAACGCCACTGCACAGTCCTATCAAAAATCATTACTTTGCTCATAAACTACAGTGAATCTAATTTTTTTGATAGACAAAATAACAAGCAAAGTAAGCAGAGAAACTCTCCACTAACATAGGATTCATATGCGAATGGCGTGTGAGTGGAGTGCACCCAGTACAAATCCGTCGAACAAGTCGACGACAGCGATTTGACAGGTGGACCACGCGAGAAACTTATCAATCCCTATTAACAAAACTACACTTGACAGTTATTGTATTGAATTTTGTACGGGATTTATTTATTATATAAATATAAAAAAAAATAAAGAGTCTTACGGAAGTAAGACGAACTTTTCCGCACGGTGGTAGTTGCGTATTTTATTAAGCCAGATCAAAACAATATTTGTTCGATTTTTCAAGCCTTTTAAGCGGCGTAAAGTTCGAGACCAAAATATGTTTCAACTTTGGCAACAAAATATTCTTTAATTTAATAGCAGAAGTAGCCAAGAAAAGATTTTTCACACTTTCATGATGAACTCATTTGTACGACATTTGAAAGTATTCTATTTTCTAACAAAACACTATAAAAAATATGTCTAACGTTAATTTTGCCATAAAAATTATTTTTGAAACACTTTTCATAACTAAAGTCACAAAAAATTTGGATTTCTGTATTGGGAGCCATGTCTGTATGCTACCTCAATGGCGTGAAACTTTGCAGAGGTTATTTTTTTCACAAAAAAATAACATTCGGAGGGATTGGAGAAATTTCAACCAAAATAAAGGGTACCTCCCATACAATATATATATATTGAAAATTTTGTATGGGAGGTACCCCTAATTTTGATTGAAATCTCTTCAAACTTTCAGAATAATATTTTTTTGTGTAAAAAATAGTCTGTGTAAAGTTTCACGTCATTAAAGTAGCATACAGGCATGGCTCCCATACAAAAAATCTGATTGATGTGATTTTTTCAAGGAAACTGTATCAAAAATTGATTGTATCTCAAAACCAACCTCGGATCCGGCTTTCTCGTGCCAGAAAACCCCCCATTACATATTTTTGAGTGTTTAAGTCTACATTAAGTATGACTTTTGGAGGAAAATTGGACTCTTTTTCATAGGTATCACTCCAGGCATGACATTTTTTTCCATCAACCAAAGTCGCTCAAAAGCTAATGATTTCTATTCCTCGGGACCCCCAATCATCCTGTAAAGTCAGATTTTGAATTAAGTTTCTACGATGAGCGCAATCTTGCTAACAAATTTTGCGTACGACGTACAACGTATGACGTACGACGTACGACGTACAGACTAACATAAACCATGCTCAAAACGGCCTGGTTCGGGTTCCCTGACCTCAGAAACGTCCAGAAAACATGTTTCTGAAGTTTTCAAAATTTTGACCGATTACAATACTTTTCACCTTACACTATGTGTGCGGAAAAGTAACAATGTGAAATGTGAATAAAAAAGATAAAAAATTAATGTCGTGACGAATTATGTGAAAAAATAAATATTATATTTCAATTACTCAGCGGAAAGTATGCTTGAATACGCGTATACCGCTGCAAAGCGGTACCAATATATACAAACACATAAAGGTCGACCCGTTTTAGATAACATTTCTATTTTTTACTCCTAATGATGGCTCATTATTTTTGTTTTTATTTTATTAATAAAACTAAATTAAAATTAAAAAATGTAAGTTTTTTTACGAATGCGATTGCGTGGTTTCATTGCTCTGCTGTTCAGCAGCAGCAGGAACATATGGAGGTTAGGTGTCCTCCTGAGTCAATTTTATTGTATTATTTTTTTGTTGTTCGTTTATTTAATGCACGTTTGAAAAATTAACAAAAAACAAATGAGGAAAATTGATTTATTGTTTTTTATTTTATTTGAAATATTTTCATTTATAAGTTTCATCGTTGTTCCAAATTTTCTGATATTTGTATCAAATGTGGAACAAAAGAGTATCATATAGCGAACAGAAAATTTGAAACAACGATGAAACTTATAAATGAAAATATTTTGAATAAAATGAAACAATACATCAATTTTCCTAATTTGGTTTTTGTTAATTTTTCAAACGTGCATTAAATAAAAGAACTACAAAAAAATAATACAATAAAATTGACTCAGGAGGACACCTAACCTCAATATATTCCTGCTGCTGCTGCACAGCAGAACAATAAAACCACGCAATCGCATTCGTAAAAAACTTACATTTTTTAATTTAATTTCAATTTTAATTTAGTTTTATTAATAAAATAAAAACAAAAATGATGAGCCGTCATTAGGTGTAAAAAATAGAAATGTTATCCAAAGTGAGTCGACCTTTGTGTGTTTGTATATATTGGTACCGCTTTGCAGCGGTATAGACGTATGAAATCA